GACTGAAACAGGCAAGAGTAAAGCGATATGAAGAAGAAATGTTGTTTGGGGGGTTGAGATATAGACGGTGGAAATGCTATTGTCATAAATAAAAACAAAAAAAGTTCAAACATTTCCAATAATATAAAAAGTTATACATTTGTTGTGTAGTTTGATATGAAGGGAGTGTTTGATTGACAGGTTCAATATGAAAGCAATGTTTCAGGGAAAGTAAAATCTGGATAAGATTAAAGATAGATTGAATTTAGTCTGACAAATATGCAGGATAAAACCTTTCAGTTTTGCTAAATCAACGATTTAAAAAAATATGTAATGCTGAAAAAATTTTCTGGAGAAAGTGTGGTTTGTTTTATTTCAGCTAGGATAAAAGCAGTTATACATTTTTTAAACAATTTTAAGGACAAAATTATTAGCCCCTTTAAGCAATTTTTTTTCTATAGTCTACAGAACAAACCATCATTACAATAACAACTTGCCTAATTACCCTAACCTGCCTAGTTAACATAATTTATCTGGCTAAGCTTTTTAATGTCACTTTAAGCTGTATAGAAGTGTCTTGAAAAATATATAGTCAGATATTATTTACTGTCATCATGGCAAAGATAAAATAAGTTAGTTATTTGAGATGAGTTATTAAAACTATTATGTTTGAAATGTGTTGAAAGATATCTTCTCTCCCTTAAACAGAAATTGCAAAAAAAATAAAAAAATAAACGGGGTCTAATAATTCAGGGGAGCTAATAATTTTGACTTGAACTGTATATATATATATATATATATATATATATATATATATATATATATATATATATATATATATATATATATATATATTGCACTGTATATCATATATTTTTCAAGAAATCTTACACATTACAAACATTACAAATATTAAAATACTTTTTTAATGCCACAAATGTCACAAAATCCCCAAAACAAAGTAAAATTAATAAATGAATAATTTTGCCGTTTCAACATTTATCACATGCAACACTAATTTAGTACACTGTGTTGTAAAAAACAACAACAACAACAAAAAAACGTTTACACTTGTTTAACTTTTACACATTTTACAATAGTTTTTTACAAATAAATAAGGCAGGAATGGTTCATTTATATCATAAAATACTAGTAAATAAAATAATACAGTAAACTGTGTGGTACATAAAAATAATAATGATAATAAAAAAATTATATATATATATATATATATATATATATATATATATATATATATATATATATATATATATATATATATATATAATTTTTTTATAAAATATATATAAAATAAAAAAAATGACTACGCCTATTCAGTGCAAGTGACATTTGCAATCCAGGCTCACTGTGAAAATGTACCTTTAAATAAATTTCTAGAGGGTGCCAAATACGTCCCAAGAGGTAAATTTTTTTCCAGCTTTTTTTCCACCAGAGGCCGCTTTGTATGCTTTTTCAGATCTCAGAGTGCCATTTCCGCCTATTCTTCTTGCGTAAATCCACCGCTGTCGACTGACTGACTGACCAACTGACTGACCCACCCTCCTCCTTTCCTAAATCCAACCGATAGTGTTTTTAAAAGCACGGATTGACCCCCACCAAATTTCCTAAACCCAAACGATAGTTTTTTCAAAAGCACCGATTGACCAGTCCACCCACTTCCCTAAACCCAACCAACAGTGTTTTGAAAAGCAATCCAGAAAAAGCAAAGCCCTTGTGGCAGCCTGATTTTTACCACATTTTCAGATTTTACCACATTTTCCCCTTGTTATTTACTTCTTTATTTTACTCTTTGGCTCTTGTTTTTGTTTTCTCTGCAGGATTCAAACCCTGCCGTTGTGGTCAACTCCTCTCTGCGTCTCAAGTCCGCCAACGTACATGGCGAGCCAATGGCCAAACTTGTCCATACAGAAGTATACGGTCAGCTGGTAAGCGCGTCATATCACCCTGTAGCATTAGTTTTAAAGACGAAATACAGCCGAAATACGTTCCTCTGGCTACATAATTTGTGATCTCCAGAATGTATATAGGGGTACATTTTCAGAATGAGCCTATGTTGAAAAGTTGTGAAGTTTTAATAAACAAATACAGTTTAGAAATGTTGTTCCCCACCCCCTCCTCAATATTCAGTTTCAGTCGAAAGTACATTACCATACTGAAATAAAAACAACTTCCAGTTCATACAGGCTTTAGGTTACATCACTAAAAGCCAAACCATTTTCCTAATGTCGTCCAAAGTTGGCAAAAACAAACCTGAAAGCTAGCCAGCTTAACCGTCCGCATGGTATAGACCCCTGGGCCGTGTTTGTGTAAAATAAAAGGCGCTGTGTGATGTTGGTTGTGCTTGTGTGTGTGATGGTGCCTGCGGAGGGTAGAGCTCTGGGGCTTTACGCTGGAGACGTGCCAGGCTTTATCTGCCTTTTCAGTTAAACACACACACCAGCGTCGAGTCTTTTGCTGGTGTTTTGTATTCTCCTCTTATCTTTGTTTTACTGTGCTTAGCCCTTTGAAGTCATGCCACATAGCACACACTGGCTCTCTCCAGACCCATTCACAGTCACATCAGCCAGTGAACAGTAGAGACCACCGTCACCGACACTCAGCTAGGAGACTTGGAGCGGCAATATATTTCCAATATCCTCAGATATATCCTATTCAAACAAAGGCAAGATGATTCCAGAAGAATTATGTTTGGTTGAAGTCTCATGTCTTCTCAATGCTAATGAGTATTTGTGTCTAACGTGTGCATAAATTAATGTTTATTTCTTAGGATTTTTAGGTCACACTTTATATTAGGTGGTCTTACCATGTACTTGAATCATAAAATAAATACAATGTACTTACTGTGTTCAAAATGTACTGCAGAACACTTCTTGCGCTCTTGAGGTTGGATACGGGTAGGGTTATTGACAGGTTTGGTGGTGTGGGTAGGTGTAAGGGTGGGTTAAGGTGCAAGGCAGGGGTTCTCAAACTTGTTCCTGGAGGGCAGGTGTCCTGCAAAGTTTAGTTCCAAACCTAATCAGACACCAGACACACCTGGGCTAGCTAATCAAGCTCTTACTAGGCTTCCTAGAAACATCCTAGCAGGTGTGTTGAGGTAAGTTGAAGCTAAAATCTGCAGGACACCGGCCCTCCAGGACCAAGTTTGAGAACCCCTGCTGTAAGGGATGGTCAATAGTGTAATTATAAATGTAATTACAGAAATCAATTACAATGTAATTACATGCAGTTATGTAATCAATCATAAGTACACAATACACAATAATTATGTCTCACCAGTGATCGTAACTCCATAGATTGCTGGAATTCACACACTATCGCTTATAGACTACAAATCTGCCATTCTTGGACTACATTTTTTAAACATGCACTCCGCTCACACACACATTTCCTAATTCTTACTGATTACAAACGCACCACCGGAGGATTGTCAAGGACTGATTACACACAGCATTTAAACAGCACATACACTCATTCCATTTGCCGAGTTTTGTTTACGTAGATGACATTACAACACGTTTACCTTGTCTCGTTTTCCTTTGTTTTTGACCCTCGCCCAGTTTGTCTTTTAGTCCTTGTCTGCCGTCTGCCTTCCAACCTCGCGCCTGTTATTGTACTACGATTCTGGATTGCCTTCACAAATCTGTTTGCACCCGTGTTGACCATTGCTTGCCTGTCATCCTTAATAATAAACCTGCATGTGTATGTGTGCGAATGAGTGTGAATGGGTTTTCCAGATATGGGTTGCGGCTGGAAGGGCATTCGCTGCGTAAAACATATGCTGGATAAGTTGGCGGTTAATTTTGCTGTGGCGAACCCAGATTAATAAAGGGACTAAACCCAAAAGAAAATGAATGAATGAATAACTATGGCATTTGCCTCAATTAACTCTTAATTTGCTGCCTATTAATAGTTATTGAATAGCTAGTAGTAATTAGGTAGGATTAGGGATGTATCATGCAGAATATGTGCACTCTTAAAAGCGCTGAGTTATTTATTTAACCCAATGGTTGAGTTAAAAATTAGTTGGGTTATTTTTAACATTTATTAGGTTATTTATATAATAACTCAACCAGTTGGGTTAAAAAAATATTTCAATGATCAACTGATACAACTGACACAGAACAGCTGTATGTTAACAAGTGTGTGTAATGTTGTTTATTTAAGCTCAAACGCAATAATACGGCTGTTATTTTTTTTTATCAAACATGTTTAGCTTTCTCCATGTCGAGTGATTTTTATATCCATTTCACTTACACTCTTCAATACGAACGCTTTATAACCAGTCTTTAATAAACAGATAAAAATGGTTTCTCTACCGTCCGTGCTCATCTCTACAGTTGTTGTTATTGGGAAAGCATTCTCACCTTTAGGACCCAGTGGAGACTCCATTCATTTCCCGTCCACTCTCGGTGAAGGTATGTTGCTTTTTTATTTATTAAAAAAACACATTCTTTTGCAAGGAATGTATATTGTTCTATTTTAGTATATAAATAATTATACAGACACACAAATATACTACTTTTTATTTAGGAAGTTGAAGAAGTGGAGAATCAGAGCATTAAAGTAGTTACTATTATTCACTGCTAGAGGGCACTGACTTGATCTCAACGTTTCTTTTTTTTTTTTTTTGTCATGAAAAAGTCATCCTGGACGAGAGCATAGGCTTGTTACCATCGTTTATCAGAAGAGGATTCGTTATCCATATCAAGGCACGTGATTACTATTAAGAGTTAAATGTTATTATTACTGTTTGTGTGTACTTTATAAAAGGGCCTGAATATTGCATTGCATTACTTAATTAAATACTTAAATGCTAATACTTAAAAACTAATAAACAGCCAACATGTAAATAATAGTGGGATAATAAGCTACTATTTAATAGTGAGAATTGCTACTTAAACTAAAGTGTCACCAGAACACAACCACTGGGTTCACAATATTTGTGTATTAAATAGCTATTAAATCAGATTTGCGTATGATAAACAATCAAGTCAACTCACCGGCGGGTCCAGGTCCTCAGCATGTACAGCGGTCACTATGGTCCCCTTGACAGCGTTGGGTGCCACCATTCCCCGGTACAGCGTTTGACTGAACACTGGTGGGAAGTCGTTCATGTCCTGCTCAGACACAGAACATCAAACTGTGATTAGTGCCTGCACTCCTGCTCTTTTCGACTGCCTTTACTCTTTTGCAACTGTCAGACTGTGTGCTAGCTCAGGTCCCATTAGCTGGCTCCCAACACTAAAACACTAAGCAAAAATGGCATTTATTCAATAGTAGATCATGCAGTACATTAAGGATGTGTCACAGTGCTTGGTGCCCGGGGACTTTTTGGTGGGCGAAAAAGTCGGGTGAGACATAATTATAACTGCTCAGAGAATGCTAAAGCCAGAGGAAAAGGTTACTAAAGAGAATAAGGAGAACATTCTGATGAGGAGGTGCTAACATGCCGCAATAGCATAGGACTGAAGCCCCAAAAAATAAAATAATTGAATATATGTTTATATTTTACTTATAAACAATTATTATTCATAATAAAACCTGCAATTTGCCCTAAGAAGCTCTTGATTGATTTCAACCACACTAAAAGTATGTTAAAAACATTTGAGGGGAAAACTACTCAGCAGGCATAAGACATCAACATGACGTCAGATTGACGTTGTACCTCAAGTCATTGGAATGTTGCATTTTGTTAAGAAATGAAAACGTCAGGCCGACATTAATATTCAACGTTCAACCAAAAAACAACCACTAGGACATCTATCAGACGTTGGATTTTGGCTGGTAATGACTTCATTACCTAAATCTAACCTTATATTAACATCTTATGACATTCTGGGCTTTATTTTGACGATCCATGCACAAAGTGCAGGGCACAAACGCATTAAGGGCGTGTTAGCATCCAATTTTACTAATCTAAGGACGGAAAAATCCGCTTGAATGTTTTGTGTATGTGAATTGGGTAAGCTTAATTGTCGGTAGCATACGTGTGTGAATAAGAGTGTATGGGTGTTCCCCAGTGATGGGTTACAGCTAAAAGGGCATCCGCTCCATAAAACATATGGTTTCCTCTGGGTGCTCCGGTGTCCCCCACAGTCCAAAGACTTGCGGTACAGGTGAATTGGGTAGGCTAAACTGTGTGTGGATGTTTCCCAGAGATGGGCTGCGGATAAAACCATGCGGGATAAGTTGGCGGTTCATTCCACTGTGGTGACCCCGGATTAATACAGGAACTAAGCCAAAAAGAAAATGAATGAATGTTTGTTTCATGCTTTCTAATTAGTGATTAAAATAATGCCGCAATCTTCATTTAAAAGTCACAATATTACCGAAAAGGCAGATGGAGACTATGCAGAGGACATTTACTTTTTCCCCCTCCACAAAGTATATATAAAAGGTACAGAAAGAGTGAAAGTGTAGCAGGCTCCCATGAATGCTGATGACACAGGTGATTCTGGGAGATGCAAGAAACGCAGTGTGACCTAATATATCGAATACAGCAGCCATCCCGAGTCCAAGGAGAGGCCAGAGGGTTCAGGTATCCAAATTACACCCCCCTCCCACCACTACCATCCCTTATGTCCTTCCCAAGAGAATACGCTTATTCAAGGATGTCCTTGAGTACCGACTAATAAAACTTTGCTATTGCTCACATCCCCAAAATAAAAGGTCCCGGGAAAGGCACTTGGAGTGAAATTGGTATTTTTCCCCCCTCTTATTGTCCAATCCAGCACATCTCTGTATGTCTTCTCTTTCCCCAGATGAAAAGTAAAACCTGTCAAGTCTTAAAGTAAATCTGCAAAGCGTACCGAGTTCATGACGGCGCTCTTGGGACTGTTTTCTCCATCAGGACTGTGCCTTGGGGGCTTCTATCCCATCATAATCACTCTGATATCCTGAGCCTCCATGCATCAGGTAGCACACATTTATTTCCGCCGCTCACTTCTGCTTTTTCATTTTCCACAGCAACTAATTATCAATTAGCCACACCGTGCACAGAAGGAAAATTAATAAATAAACCCAACACAGAAACAATTAGGGCTTCTTGTGAAGACGTAATAAGCCGTGTGTTTCCTTGCATGAAAATGCTTGCGCTTAAACTCTTTTTCTTTGAAGCTGAACCAGATCCACAAAAAAAAAAGAAAGCTGCGGGTGCTTTGCTAACAGAAATAAACAACAACAAAAAAATAACAATAACGTAATGCCAAGAAATATTAAATGTCTTACATTGCCCTAGTCGAATGTTAGCTCTAGTTAGCTCTTTTGTTAAATGGCACAGAAGAATAAATGCTTCATTTGAACATGGGAAGCAATGTTGTATGTTCAATTGCTAACCAATAAAAAGAAATACATAAATACACTCAAAGAAAATGACATTTGTGGATTTGTTCAAACGACTTAGTAAAATTGAGTTGAAACAACGCATTTCTTGAGTTTTTTGGGAGAGACAACTTAATTGCTTTATGTTCAATCTACTCAAATTACTAAAAATTATTAAGTTAACGTAATTCCTTCATGTTGTCTCAAGGCAAATCAGTTATGTGGAACTCAGCATTTTTTACAGTGTACCTACACTACCTGACAAAAGTCTTGTCATTGATACCAGTTGTAAGAACAACAAATAACTTGACTTCTAGTTGATCATTTGAAAAAGTGGCAGCCCAAAAAGCGGCCCAATCATCACAAATACTGCAGAAGACCTACTGAAACCCGCAGGGACCCAAGAGTCTCACAGAAATCAGTCACAGCAGGATGAACCGCCAACTTTTCCTGCATATGTTTTACACAGTGGATGCTCTTCCAGCTGCAACCTATTACTGGGAAACATCCATACACACTCATTTACACACATAAACTACGGACAATTTTAGCTTATCCAATTCACCTATAGTTCATGTCTTTGGACTGTGGGGGAAACCAGAGCATCCGGAGGAGAAACATCCAAACTCCCAACAGAAATGCTGACTGACCTAGACAAGGCTTGAACCAGCGACCTTCTTGCTGTGAGGTGATTGTGCTACCCACTGTGAGGACCAATTTATATTTAAATCTTTCGTACATAAAATGTATTTAAATAACGCTTACACCGCACCAATCATGTGAGAGTATGTGATAGGCCAAAGACAGAAAATAATTAAAGAAAAATAACCCATATCCAAGCATAAAGATGTCTGTTTTCCAAAACTTTGTGGGTTTTTCTGTTTTTCCAAAACTTTTCCAGGCCTGGAAAATGGCATGTCAAAATTTCATGACTTTTCCAGGTTTTTCGTGACTGTATGAATCCTGAATATTACGCAGTGATGTAGTTACCTAGCTGGGGACTATTTTCAAGCACTGTATAATATCATTGAGACAGTGAATTTTAAAACTCATATTAAAAAATATGATTACTTTCAAAGAAGTCCAGCTAAAAGATTCAATCTAAGAAATGACATGCTTTTTTCCAGCCAAACGACAGCAGCATCTCACTGAAAAATGGTCATGGTGACCTAAATACTGCAATGATCTCTGCAGCATTTTCAGTGACAGCTAATTGACATTCCTCCAACTTAATCTTCAGAGACCTTTCAAATCAGCTGGTTACACAACAGAGGTATTATGGGTGTAAAGACCAATTCAGACTTAACATATCTTTAGCTGTCAGAGTCCGCAAGGTTTAGAAGCGTCCACTGAAAAAAAAATCACAATATGCCAATAGTTGTCCCGGAAAAGACTGGAAAAGACCAGTATGGATCTCCTTGTCATTTCCAAAAACCATCGTCAGCCAACTAAGGCTGAAAGTTCCATCATTACAAACATAGTTCAGCAAGTTGATGTTTTCCTAAATCTATCGTTCCAATGGACAATTACAAAGGCCCAATACCAATTCTACCCCTTAGCCCTTCACCTTACCTCTACCCCTCATTTTCTGTATTCACGTGAAGGGGTAGGGGTGTCCCAATTCTCTTTAGCTTGAAGGCGTAGGGCTAAGGGGATGGGGTAGATAAATGTATTTAAGAGAGGTTTATACTGTTCGAAATAATTAAATCAAAAGAAATCAATTAAATTAACGATTAAAATTAAGTTGTTGTTTCGGGAAACACCCCAGGTTAGTGCTCAGGGCATTACAAAGAAAACAGCTCACTGAAAAGTCTGGATTTAAAAGAATTTGGTGCAAATAAATTAGTCAAAGAGTTAGACATAATTGAGACTTGAGTCTTACCAATACAGTGACAGTAACAGAAGCCAACCCTGGGGGCATTTTGCCGCTTCCTCCATCCAGAGCCTCCACCACAAAGGTTTGCGTTGTTGCGTTCGGTAAGAGTTTCTCGAAATCCAGCGACCGAAGCACCTTCAGCTCTCCGGTGAGAGAGTTCACCGCAAACAGCTCTCTGGCCTCTTTGGTCCTGATGCGGTATGTGACATTGGCATCAAGATCGGGGTCCAGTGCCTGTGTGAGACAATCATCGGATGAGTAATCTTACTCTCAGTGTTAATTAAACTCTTAAACATCATCTGAATACAGCAAATAATCAGGTTACATTAATGACTGGAACCAATCCTGCGGTGACCCTGAAGCGATGAGTAAATTAGAAAGATTCCTCACCTGCAGTCTCGCAAATTAACCATCACTGCAAATTGAACAACATCCTGAGAGGACACGGACCTTTAGATATTTCTGTGAGGTACAAGTGTAGCTTCTGAGGACAGAACTAGGTTTGGTGGGTTGCAAAAATAAAATGCAAGGTTGTTGTAGCCTAACGTTGGGTCAAAAAGTGTCATTTAACCTAAGTGTAAGATCGTCCTGGTAGATTGCAAAAAGATGAGGAATTTAGCTTAGCTTTACATAAATCATTAAACCGGATTGAAGCATTAACATCTCACTCAAAAAAGTGAGAAAAGTGATAATAACAAAGAACTATACCACTGGTTTGAGATTATTAAGGAAATCCTAGCAACAAAAAAACTTAAATACATGTTGAAAATGAAAATCAGTGCGTTCAGAAAGAGGAAAAATATATATGGGTATAGTCAGGGCTTTACATTAATACCTGCCAACCCGCCAAACACCCACAGGTAGATTTTAGCTGTGGCGTGTTAGACAGCCCCTTCGACTAGCCATTTTGGCTGGTTGGAAATCGTTTTTAAATTGTAGTTTTCCTAAAAACAGGGTTCGACAATAAAGATGGCCCAACATTCGTGCAAATGCGACCCTACAATCGAGAAGCAGCATGACTGACGAAATTATGTTCGTGCAGGCAAAAGAAAGCTGGTTGAATACTAAATGAGAGGATAATCACTCGTGCCAACAGCTGATGTGATGCTCCCGACTGTTTAAAACACGTGTGCGCTCCCGTTTTCTTGCTTGTAACAACCGTGCCTGGAAACGCAACTGGTGTGATCGGCTCTCTTTCAAATAGACTGGACAAAAAGTTATGCTCATGCACGCACAGTCCTGCGGCTTTCAAGAGCTCCAAATTGGTCTTTTTGTAAGCAGCACCTTTTGCTTTCGAACAGGATATAGGATATTAACTTATCATGTGTTGACACATTATTTAAAATTTGTGGCAAAGAAATAGTTATTTATTTATATTTGGTGTGGTGTCACGGTCAGTGAGGGGAAAAGGAGCGAAGACCCAATTGCAGAAAAAATGTAGGATTATTTATTATAAAATACAAATAAAAATAAAAATAAAAGGCAAAACAAAACTACCCCGAAGGGGAAAACATGAATAAAAAGGCAAAAACAAACTTGACAGGGCTGGCAGGACAAAACAGGACTGGAGACAACAAGACAGAGTAATATCGACGACGAACTGGCAAAGGACTGAAAACATGAGGGGGGTTATAAAGCAAAAAAGTAAATTGACACACAGGTGAACATGACAAACTATTAATGAGTTCACAAGGAGGGTGGGACTAGACAATAGACGGGAGAGCGCATGACACAGAGAGACAACACAAGCCATGCGCTCGCATAAAACAAGACAAGAACATGCAGCCAATGAGAGAACTCATTAACCACATGTTCATGACAAGACAAGCACAACACTGAAGCACACGACAAAAGCACGTGACCACGATGTAAACACATAGCCACGTGCTTTAACAATAGACGCAAGACACGAGCACACGATGAATGAAAACTCACCGTGCGCTCACACACGCAGCGTGAATGAAACACCACGCTGCAGACAGACGAAAACACAAACACGAGTACAAGAGCGCGCGCGTCTGAGGGACGCCACATCAAGAGGCAGCGCGCACACTCTGTGTACACCCACGACGGCGCGCGCACACAGAGACAGAAACAGGACCAGACATGGGTAGTGTCAGAGCTCTGCCACCAAAACAAGAATTTACAAGACCATAGTGGCAGAACCCTGACATGTGGTCAGAGATAAATTTTGTAAATCCTTTGAAATCCATGTGAAATAAAAACTTATTGTGATACAACACTATGAAAGCATGACCCATGTGCTCATGCTCACTGAGCAAGCTCATACACAACATACACAAAAAATGAATTAGGAGGCAAGTGGACATTCCACAAAATCTAAATAAAGTAATTTAAGCTCAAAGAGTATTACATGACATGTATTTTGATGTATCAAAATTCATGTCTTTTAGCATGTCAAACTCATATTTATGCATATTAAATATATTTTCCCAACAAAAAACTTGCGGCTAGTGAAAATGGCGAGTGGCTAGTAATGTTGGAAAACTACTAGCCACACTGGCTGGTGATCAAAAAAGTTCATGTTAAGCCTTGGGTATAATCTAATATAGTGGAGTACGGTTTAAATATGACACGCACGTATACAACATCTCTGTTGTAATCACCAGCTGTGTTTTGTGATAACATATATGATATGAAGATATAATAAGTCTGTTATAGCGGAGTTTGGTATATAATTTAAATATGACATGCAGTTGTACAATATCACATTTTTTTATTGTTGTTGTGATTTTTCTTCTTCTTTTCTTTTTTATTTGCATTATTAAAATTTTATATAAAACTAAATCAAAAGTTATAAAAAAAAAAAAAAAAGCCCAACATTGGGTTTGTCCCTATTTCACCCAACATTGAACAAGCCAGCATTTTTTAGAGTGTGGGCCATACAAACAGCAGCAAAAACAATGCTACAGTAAATGGGGATGACAAAATACAACTATAAATCCAACTGAAGGTCACTGGGGGAAAAGTGCCCGTGGAAACATTTTTGGAAATTGCTTCTTAAGTGTCAGGAAGTGGCACTAAAAGCGCATCTGGTTTTATCTACCTGCATATTGTGGCACTCTGCCAATGAACGATCCAGTGAGTGGCGCTAAACATCAGCAGAGTGTCCCAACCTGCTTCTGGAGACTCACTGTCTTTCAGAGTTTACCTCCTACCTAAATTACAAACACTTCAGGTTATCAAGGTCCTCAGACTCATCGGAGGTTTCCCAATTCAGAGGCTGTATTTGAGATTGCCCCTATACCCTTAAATTGCGCACTTTTAAAAGAAGCAGTCATTTGTAGTGATGTCTGAAATCATAGTGGACTTTCTGAAGTGCGCGCAGAAAAGTACCAAGTCACAACAGAAGAATACACTCTTAAGAATTGAGATGTGCTGTAATCTTCCTATTGCTCACATGACATTCACATATTTTAAAGGGGACCTATTATGCAAAAATCACATTTAAAGGGGGTTTGAACACAGTTTTGTGACAACTGTCTGTGAATATAACTAGCTTCTTATAGAAAACATTTATTTATTTAATTTATTTATAATTACACTACATTAAAACAGTCTGGAGAAACAGTTTGACTGACATGGTTCCGTTGTACGTGTCATCAGAGGGAAAAGCCCAGCCCATTAGTGACAATCTCTTCCTCATTAGCATAGGATGTCAGTCTTGTTTTTGAATCTGCCACTATGCTTTGGTATTGGTAGCTCCACCCTCTTTTGAAAAAGAACCCAATCTCATTGGAATTTAAAGCGACAGTCACCAAAATGGCACAATAAGGATTAAAGCCTAAAAGGGGCAGTTTTAAAGAGCTATAAAACATTTTTTCTGTGGTATTTTTAGATGAAACGTCATATACACACACCACGGACATCAGACTTATTTTACATCTTTTGATAAGAAGCATAATAAGCCCCTTTTAACTTTTGGCATCTAAATTTTCTACATCAAAAGTTGACGGAGCAGAGATAAAGATCCCATAATTCAATTCATAACTAAACATAAATATATTCTGTTCAAAAATAAAGAACAAAAAATCCCTGTGAAATACAGAACCTGCTTATTAATGGGTTTTTATTTACACTTTATGTCACATAACCAGCGATCGTTCGCCAGAGATCGCTGGTTCTCACACGAACACCATGGACTACACTTCCGCCTTTTCATGGACTACATAAGCATACATGCTCTCCGGTCACACTCACTCATTGACCCATCCAGTTTGCCGAGTCTTGTTAGCTGTTTCAGTGACATTACAACGCGTTTCTCCCTGTCTTGTTTCTCCGTGTTAGACCCTAGCCTTGTTTACCTTTGTTCTCCTGTTTAGCCGCCTGCCTTTAGACCTATTGTCTGTTTATACGACTATGATTCTGGACTGCCTGAATATATCCGTTTGCACCTGTTTGATCATTGCTTGCCTGACGCTGAATAAACCTACATTGTGGATCTTACCTCCAGTTGTCTCTGTCACTCCTCCCGTCGTTACACTTTAATTATGGTTAATTTCAGCTGGACTTTAATGAATATACATTATGTGTAGTTGATTTTCTTTAGTTAAAAAAAATAAAAATAAGGTAGAGAAAATAAGCATATTTTGATGTAATCAGTAAAAGTATAAAAAAAATCTCTCACGTATCAAAGATCAAACATTAAAGCCTGCATATGTGCAGTTAAATTCTATAATATGTTGTTGTAAATTTTTCTGTGATTTTGTCTAGAAAAAAATTACACCAGCGCCAATATAAGTTTGATAACTTTACTTTCTTTACTTTTGCTTCTTTGTGGAAAAACTTCTGGTACTGTGCTGAAAGACTTTCAATATACTGTAAAATCTGGATCTCAAAGCAAATCCGGTTGAGAGCTACTGGTGTAACATAGGCATGAGATGCTGTTATTGTATGTGTGTGTGTGTGTGTGTGTGTGTGTGTAGCTCCTATGACCAATTATCAGAGTGAAAACACAGGCGAAGGTAGAACAGAATAGAAAATCATTAACACTTGTATAACCTGCTATCATAATCTAACAAGTATCCCATTTAAAAAAAACAACAACATATGCTGTGTTTTGAGTGCTGGTGTTCCTGCTTTGCTTTTTCAACTAGATTAAATGGATAGTTCATGCAAAGAATAAAAGGATAGATCATCCAAAAAAAAAACAACCATTTCTGGCTAATTAACTTACCCACATTATAGACAATGTAGGTGACTTTATTTCTTTAGCAGAACATTACAGGAGATGTTGTGCTTTTACCTTTTGTGCTTAAACATTTTGGGTGAACTTAAATCTCTTTAATCATTATGTTCTCAGTTTGCTTTTCCTCTAAGGGAGAACACTGTTTGTGCATTAATTAATGTAAACAAATTGAACCTTCGCTTGAGGTAACTAACATGCTCTCGGTCAGCTTAACTGCTTAATTACTTCTGATTTGTTAGCTGATAGCATGGCTGCCTTCACAAGTAAGAAGTGAGCTTATACTGCACTTTGTAGTGTACTCCAAGTAAACTTGGAGATAAAATATGGCAAAGGTTGTTCTGATGACCTAAATTTAATATATACTAGTTTGGTGTTTGTTCAAACTACTTATTGAAAATGAGCTGAAACAACACAACTCTTGAGTTACATTGAGTTTGAATAGGTTTTGTTCAATCCACAAAAAAAAATTAATTAACTTAATTCTTAACTTAATTGTTGTATCAACACAAATCGATTGTGTGGAACCCAGCAAGTGTCTGCCATTTGTATTATTATTTTCTACCATAGCTTTTGAAGCATCTATTGAACTTGCAGTATAGACATATCAGAAGCATTTAAATGACTCAATGCACTAACAAAGTTTGCTCAGTCAAACTGGCAGCTTTGTTTAGCGCTTTCATGCTCTACACTAGGCAAATGAGAGACTCACATATACTGTAGCATAGTCATGTACTCAAATAATATTATGACATTAAATGGAGTTTCCATGAGACAGAAATGTGTCATGCAAAAAAAATAAAAATAAAATATTTATGTTTGTGATGGGGTATCTTTTGGAATAATGGTTTTTTATTGACTTCTAGTTGATCATTTAATATCAGAAGTGGCTTATATGAAAGGCAAAGGCCTCTAGATTGCGCTTATTTTACCTAAATAAAACATGATATATGATATAAAATATTATTTAATTAGGACAGTAAGCTCTGACTTTGCTTAGACAAAAGTCACTTAAAAGGCGTTCATGCAGGACTCCTAGAGTTCATCAAGATTCTTTGGATTCATCTTCAGTGCCTCCTCCTTCATCTTACCCCAGACATGCTCAATAATGTTCATGTCTGGTGATTGGGCTGGCCAGTCATGGAGCACCTCGACTTTCCTTGCTTTCAGGAACTTTGATTTGGAGGCTGAAGTATGAGAGAATTTGCTCTCTCTTGTGGTTTGTAATGACTCTTAAGATAGCAGAATATACTGCCTAAACTGTAAGTTTTAAGTATAAAATTATTATTATTATTATTATTATTATTATTAACAACATTATTATTATCATTATTATTATTATTATTATTATTATTATTATTATTATTATTATTATTATTAACAACAACATTATTATTATTATCATTATTATTATTATTATTATTATTATTATTATTATTATTGTTAACAAAAACAACAACAACAACAACAACATTATTATTTGTTATTGTCATCATCATCATCATCATCATCATCATTATTATTATCATTATTATTATTATTATTATTATTATTATTATTATTATTGTTATTATTATTGTTATTATTATTGTTATTATTATTATTATTATTATTATTGCATTTTCAAGTAACCATAATAATATACAAACTATAAAACTTCTCGATTTAATCTCAATTAGCACACAAGTAACAGCCTAATATAACATTCATACTGAACTTTAGTACATTATTTTAAATGATATAACTTCGGCTATATACAGTAAACTCCTTTTCAAATAATTGAATGCTAAAGTTTACTACATTGTATGTATTTTTGCATGTTGAAAAACCATTGTAGGCAGGCTACTGTACAAACGCATAATGGATTCATCCTAAAGGTCAAGTCAACAAGCAACACATTCCAGTTAAATTAAATTCAAGCCAAAAACACCTTAACAAATGTACATGTCGGACTTGTCAAGTTAATACACAACATAAGCAAAGAAGCAGTTTCCCGAGGCTAATTTCACAAAGTCATGTTCTTGTTCTCACAGTTTTCGAGGCATGCATTTGTTTGTTTGTGTGTGTGTGTCTGTGTGTGAATGATGTTGATGATGATCATACAAAAAATATACAGGGGGTCTAATAATTCAGGAGGGTTAATAATTCTGACTTCAACTATATATTTGTCCAGTGCTTTTCAACAAGCTTTCAATTTCTAATACTTTTGGCATTTATTTTGCTCCATAGAAGACTTCATTAAACTCAAAACCCCAATATGTTTGTGTGTGTGTGTGTGTGTGTGTGTGTGTGTGTGTGTGTGTGTGTGTGTGTGTGTGTGTAACTTACACTGATGTTGAGGATGACAGTCCCCACTGGGCTGTTTTCTGGCAGTGTGGCGTGATACGCAGGTGGAGAGAAGACTGGACTGTTGTCATCCACATCCAGCACAGTGATGGAGAGCGTGATGGTGGTTCGCCGAGGGTCTTTGGCCCCATCTGAAGCCTGCACGATCAGATCATATTGAGCCCTCTCCTCCCGGTCTAGAGGCATAGCGGTGAAGATGCTTCCATTTGGACTGATCCGAAAGAGATCCGGGTAACTGACCAGACGGTAGCGGACCTGTCCATTAATGCCCAGGTCCAGATCGGTGGCCTGGATCGGGAAAAATATATATAAAAATCAATCTTCTTAAAAAAATTTAATAAAATAAAGGCATGAACAGTTTCATTTAATTTGATTTAATGGTGTGTGTGTGTGTGTGTGTGTGTGTGTGTGTGTGTGTGTGTGTGTGTGTGTGTGTGTGTGTGTGTGTGATGTGTGTTGAAGATTGGTCGTAATTTTAGTTTGCATTAAATTGAATTTGAAAATGCGTTTTAAATGAATAAATAGATAAAGTGATAAATAAATAAAAAACAAACAAACAAATAAATAAATAATAAAAAATAAATAAATAAATAAATAAACAAACAAACAAGTAAACAAACAAATAATACAAATACATAAATAAAACAAACAATTAAACAAACAAATAATACAAATAAATAAATAAAAAACAAACAAACAAATAAATAAAATAAATGGAATAGATAAATAGATTACATAAACAGATAAACAAACAAATAAATAAATAAAGCAAACAAATAATAAACAAAATAAAACACAAACAAACAAGTAAATAAAATAAACAAAATAGATTAAACAAATAAATGAATAAATAAAATAGATTGAATAGATGAACAGATAAAAAATGAATAAAAATAAATAAATAAAAACAAAATAATAAATAAATAAAAACAAAAAAGCTAATAATGCACAAAATAAAATAAAAAACAAACAAACAAACAAACAAGCAAACAAACAAACAAACAAACAAATAAATAAATAAATAAATAAATAAATAAATAAATAAATAAATAAATAAATAATCTGTACATTTTCTATTAGGGATTATGATTCTTATTTTAAGAATCATTATATCGAGAGACATTTAAAATGGTATGATAGGAAATAATTTGATTTAAGATTTTGTTGTTATCCTTTCATGAACAAAAAAGTAAAAAAAAAATAAATAAAATCAGGTAAATACATTTTTTTGTAAATTATGCAATTTTATTAAATCATGCAAAAAAACTGAACTTCTTTCAGAAAAATAATATCTTACTGATCTTAAATGTGTGTTAAAATATGAATAAAGATTTTTGCTGCTACTGCTTAAACTAATTTAAAATGAGCTGAAACAACAATTCATGAGACTTTTTTGGACAACTTTGATTGAACATATGAGTATATTATGTTTTATTATGCCTTTTTACAGTGTACTTTCAATTTAGTAAATTAATTAATGCACTTTAGGTTTAGTATCACGCTACTGTATACACTTAAGGTTTAATTTGGTCAGTCTATTCATAGAAATTGCTAGTAGTTCAGTTTTCATAAACATCTAATTAACAATAAATAACAGTTTAATCCACAAACAATTACAAACACATAAATATAAAGATAAAATTTTCAAGAAGAAAGACTGAAAAAAGTGCATAGGTCAATATTAATGTACTATATAATACAGGGGTCACCAATCTCGGTCCTGGAGGGCCGGTGTACCTTCAGGGTTTAGCTTCAACTTGCCTCAACACACCTGCCTGGATGTTTCAAGTATACGAAGTAAGACCTTGATTAGCTGATTCAGGTGTGTTTGATTAGGGTTGGAGCTAAAATCTGCAGGACACCGGCCCTCCAGGAGCAAGTTTGGTGACCACTGATATAATATATACATACAGTTGAAGTCAGAATTATTAGCCCCCTGAATTATTAGCCCCCCTGTTTATTTATCCCCCAATTTCTGTTTAACAGAGAACAGATTTCTAAAAATAATAGTTTTAATAACTCATTTCTAATAACTGATTTGTTTTAACCTTGCCATGATGACAGTAAATAATATTTGAGTAGATATTTTTTAAGACACTTCTATATAGATTAAAGTGACATTTAAAGGCTTAATTAGGTTAATTAGGTTAACTAGGCAGGTTAAGCTAATTAGGCAAGTTATTGTATAGCCATGTCACCCTGCAGCCCAAGACCGGTTACTCACTGAAGCTAAGCAGGGCTGAGCCTGGTCAGTACCTGGATGGGAGACCACTAGGGAACACTAGGTTGCTGTTGGAAGTGGTGTTAGTGAGGCCAGCAGGGGGCGCTCAACCTGTGGTCTGTGTGAGTCCTAATGCCCCAGTAAAAGTGAAGGGGACACTATACTGTCAGTGTGCGCCGTCTTTCGGATGAGACGTTAAACCGAGGTCCTGACTCTCTGTGGTCATTAAAAATCCCAAGGCACTTCTCGTGAAAGAGCAGGGGTGTAACCCCGGTGTCCTGGCCAAAGTCCCTCTATCGGCCCTTAACATCATGGCCTCCCAATCATCCCCTCTCTACCGAATTGGCTCTATCACTGTCCCTCTACTCCACCAATAGCTGGTGTGTGGTGAGCGCACTGGCGCCGTTGTCCTGTGGCAGCCGTCGCATCATCCAAGTGGATGCTGCACACTGGTGGTGGTGTGGAGAGACCCCCCCTCATGATTGTGAAGCGCTTTGGGTGTATGGCCATACACAATAAATGCGCTATATAAATACACATTACATTACTACATTACATTACATAACAATAGTTTGTTCTGTAGCCTACTAAAAAAAAAAAGGTTTTTAAAGAATTAAAAGCTGCTTTCATTCTAGTCGAAATAAAACAAAAAAGACTTTCTCCAGAATAAAAAATATTATCAGACATACTGTGAAAATTTCCTTGCTCAGTTAAACATCATTTGGAAAATATATAAAAAAAGAAAAAAAGAAATTCAAAGGGGGGCTAATAATTCTGACTTCAACTGTACACTCAATATTAGTTTAATGACATTATAATCAATAATTTGCACAAATTAGCAATAATCAATAGAATATCAGCTTTATAAAAGTTTTTCTTTATTAGTTCATTAAATAACTAATTATCTTTATAAAATGTTTAATTATGTTTCAAACTGACATTGCAGCATGAACATTCCCTCACATTTAAGTTTTTCCGTAACTGTGGGATTCCTGTTACATGCAGAGAGAAATAACCTGTCCATATGGCAGTGAAAACATTATCTTAATTTATAATTTCAACCACGTCACCGAAACCGCGCACACCCCTCCAGAGACACCTGCTCCATCAGCAGGGCGATCAGACAATCAACAAAAACAGCAGCAAGATTTGCGACTCCCTACAGTGATGCAGACAGGTGCACGCGCTGCTTTTTTGACTCTCATGGCAATTATACCCGCTCAGATCACAAACACCAATAAAAAAATCATGCTAAATCATATCACTGGAGGAATAGTTCACCCAAAAATTCTAATCTTCATCATTTATTCAGCCTCATGTCACTCCAAACTCAAACGACATGCTTTCAAGCTTCAAAAAGTATGCAAAAGTACCATTAAAGAATAATACAATTAGTCCATGGGACCCTTTTTGATTATTTTGATGTTCATATTCACTTTCATTACAGAAGGATGTTCTTCAAAAATGTCACAGAAGGAAGTAAGTCATATGGAATGACACGAGAATGACAAAACAGACCATCAATAAAAGAATCTGGCCTACTTTCTCCAGATCCAGTGGAATATGCAGATGTATTAGTCAATCGTGCACCAAGTAGTTGTGTATCTTGGACCAGATTTACTGACCACTTTCACCAGTGCAATTCTTAATTTGACTGAGACTTTCATTCATCTTCAGAACACAAATCAATATGTTTTAGATGAAATCCAAGAGCTTTCACATCCACTATAGACAGAAATGGTCATGGATGTTCAAAGTCCAGAAAGTCAAATGTCAAAACAGTCTATATGGCATCAGTGGTTCAACTGTACCCATACAAAGCTCCAAGAACACTATTGTACACCCCCACAATCCCCCATGATATCATTAAAGAAGGATGTTCTTTAAAAACGTCATTGAAGGAAGTAAGTCATATGGAATGACACGAGAATGACAACATGGACCATCAATAAAAGACTTTCTGGTCTACATTCCCCAGATCCAGTTGTATATGCTGATGTATTAGTTAACCGTACACCAACTAGGTTTATATTTTGGACCACATTTACTAACCACCTACACACTTAGAAATAAAGGTACAAAATCTGTCATTGGGGTGGTAACTTTTCAAAAGGTAGACTTTGGTCCCTTTCAAGTGAGCATTAGTACCTTTAAGGTATACTTTTGTACTTTAAGGTTCATTTTTGTACTTTTCAGGTATCATGAGGTAGACATTTGTACATTATAGGTATTATTATGTACCTTCAAAGACCTGTTAGGAACACAAATGTACCATTTGAAAAGGAGAAAGTATGCCAGTCCAATTTCTTATTTGACTAAGACTTTCACTCTTCTTCAGAACACAAATTGAGATATTTTAGATAAAAACTCCAAACTCTTTCACCCTCAGTGGACAGAAATGCTCTTGAGATGTTCAAAGTCCAGTAAAAGGAACCAAGAATACTTTCAAAACACAGTCTATGTGGCTATAAGGGTTCAATTGTAATCATAAGAAGCTTCAAGAACACTTTTGTACACCAAAAAAAAAAAAATAAATACGACTGTGTCCAACAATGTCCGCATCAGGACCCAGTGCACATGTACTACTGGGAATTCTGCACTGCTGACTCAAAAGTCAATACATTGTATAGAGACAAACAGCATTTAAGCCAAGCCCCCCATCTGGGGGAAAACAATCCAACTCGTTTCATTGCCTTTCTATTGCAGGAGGGTTTTCAAATTTTTATAACCTGTTTACCCAAAAATAGGAGTGTTTAAGGACAAAAAAGAAGAGCGCAACGTATTATATTAGAGAACTAATGTCCCGTCAACTGGGGAGAAACATAAACTGGAACAATTCAAACCGTTCTTTGAAGATCTCAAAACTCAGGGCTTCTGATAGTACTCAGAACAACAAAGTCTACTAAAGGAGGACGAACCTTTTCATTTATGGCTCCCAAACTCTGGAATCGCCTTCCTGATAATGTCCGAGGCTCAGACACACTCTCTCAGTTCAAAACTACCTTAAAGACCTAGGTTTTTGTCCTTCACTTTCATTAATTGGTGAAGTTTGTTCCTCACCACTGTCAC